CTGCAGTCAATGAGGGTCCTGCTCTTCTCAACCAGGTTGAAAAAAAGGCTTAGCAAGCCAGGGAGCAGGTCTTCCAGGACTCACAGCCAAGGGGGTCTCACTTGCAAAAGGATCTCATAGGACTGAAAGGAGAGTTGAGGCAGATAACTGTCCGTTCCTACTTGACTGCATTTAACTAGATAATGAGTTTATTTAGCTCCAATGACTAGCTATCTTCAGCCACAAAAACCACCTTTTTATCATTAAATGTGCTTCCCGGTTCTCAAAAGCAGCCTTTTCTTGGCTCCTATGCACCGAGTAGTGTTGTTAAATTAGCAATCACCTATTTTTAGAATGTGCTTATTTTCCAGAGATTATTACAGTCTCAGTCAATATTTAAGGAAGATAACATGGTTTGCATTTGTTGGAGCCTGGGATTCGTGGGTCATCACAGAGATTGTGGGGATTGATCTCAAGGCTAGAGTTTGCTTCTTGGTATTGATATAGGCAAGATCGTTGATAATCCAAGCAAATCTCTCTCTCTCTCTCTGTGTGTGTGTGTGTGTGTGTGCGTGTGTGCGTGTGTGCGTGTGTGTGTATCCGTCTCACTGTGTTGGTTGAGTCATTCATAACAGCAATCAACAAAATTCTCCAGAATGTGAGTTTCTCCTTTTCAGACAGCCGTATTGCAACACCCAAGTCTTCCACTCACTGAGACCAGCTGCTTTGGATGGGGGAAATGTGGATAATCAGATATAAGGATTAGTATGTCTGGAACGCAGTCTACTTGCTGGGTCACTTAGAAGGATTTTAAAGTGCAGATAAAGGTAAAGGGAGCCCTGACCATTAGGTCCAGTCACGGACGACTCTGGGGTTGCGGCGCTCATCTCGCTTTATTGGCCGAGGGAGCCGGCGTACAGCTGCCGGGTCATGTGGCCAGCATGACTAAGCCGCTTCTGGCGAACCAGAGCAGAGTGTAAACTAAGGCCCAGATCCGCACCACATTCAAAGCATGTATAACATCTCCCAAAGAATCTTGGGAACTGTGGTATATGAAGGGTGCTTAGAATTGTGGCTCCGTGAGGGAGGAACTACAATTCCCAGGATGCTTTGGGGGAAATCATGTGCTCCCCATTGGCCTGAACCAGAGAGCACACGTACAAATGAGGCACGCTAAATGGAGTCAGCCTAGAAGACACTTTATTGCCACCTATTAGGGAAGTGCATTTCATTTCATGTTGATGCTGTTTCCCCCAAGAAGTAGGAACAAAGGAAGCTTGCCTTACGCTGAGTCAGGCAGTTGTGGTTGTTTAGGTTACTGGGGGTTATTCAAGGCCAGTGATGGGAAGCCTGTGGGGCTTTCTAAATGTTGATGGGCTACGCTAGTTATCTATTGTTGCTGCTGCTGTTAAAAATACATTCATAAAAATAAAATAGTAATTTTTAAATATATATATTGCTTTATGGGGTGATCAAAGTTGAAGTCTAACACCATCTGGAGAGCCACAGGGTGCCCGTTCCTGTTCTCAGCATTATTATTAATATAATTAATAACTATTATAATTTATTTACAACCCACACTTCACCCTAAGATCTGGTGGCAGGTTACAGCATTAAAAAAATAGAAACAATTTAAAACAACTTGCAACCATCAAAATAAGATGGGTCCATGGAACATTTCGTCAGGGCTGTTCTACCCACATTTGACACTGACTTGGCTATTAATTATGCAGTTTTATTATTTTATTATTATTAATTATATTGTTTTAAATGTGCAGTTTATATTTTACTTCCTTTAGAAGTGTTTTATTCTGAAATGTTTTAAGATTTCTTTTTGTTAACTTATTGCTATGTTAATGTGCATTCTGTAATTGACCTCCTTTGTAATGCATTATTTTGAAACCTTTAACATAATATTTTAGTTTCCTGTTAATTATGTTGCTTTGAAAGTATACTTTATATTTGACTTCCTTCAGTCATGTTTTATTCTGGATTGTTTTGTTCGATTTTTTAATGTGTTGTGATTTTTTCCTCTTAAAAATATAAAGCAGTATGAAATTACCGGTAATCATCATCATCATTCCAGAGGAACCTTCAGAATGTCTGTTGGACTCAAAGGAGCATTGCACCACATGAAGGTTTCCACCAGAACAAGCATGGATTATTTTAATCTCCAGTTATTTTCAGTTCCTGAAGAGATGGGCCAACTTCCCTCCCTATTGCTTCTGTGGTTGGCTGCGAAGCCTATTGTGAAAACCTTCAAGGTTACTGAGTACAGTCTATGACTCACTCATCTGTGCTAAGGACCAAGTGAAAACCATCAACACTGCAGCTTGACAGGATTTCTATATTGAGCTCCCTGATCAGGCCGCTGAACTTTCAGAGGAATCTCTTTGGGGCAAAGTTATCAGTATCTACTGACTAGCATAAAGATGAAGGGATTACACCAACAGAGCAGAGTTTACCACAGGGCACCACCTGAGTTAAGGTATCTCAGTGTCTTTTTTGTTCTCAAGTTATACATTGCTAGTTGAGATACACTGATGGGTGACAAAGTAGTCCAGCCAACAGACTCCTGGATCTGGAAGTGGGAATGCCGGGTACAAACCCATGCTCACATTGATCCCTGCGCAAAGTTCTTGGATTCTCTGTCTCACCTCATAGCAGAGGTGGACAATCTTTTGGGCAGTTGAGGGACTGCATTCCTTCAGGAGAAAGTGGTTGAGAAACACATACCAGCAGTGGTGGGTGAGGTCAAAGTGGGTGGGGGGCAAAGCATCAGTGTCCCTATTTTCCAGGGACAGTCCCAGATTTACAGAAGCCATCCCAGTTTCTGATTTGATCTTGGAATGTCCCACTTTTCCTTAGGATGTCTCTATGGTCATCAGAGACACCTTGGAGTTATGTGGACCCAATTATGGATGTTTTGATCTGCGTCGAGGTGAAAACATACCTGCATGTTGGCTCAGCCTATTTTTGGAAATGGTTGTTAACGGAGAAATCTGAGGGCTCCCTTGGACAAAAAAACAAGGACACCAGCCAGGAGTACCAGAGCAAAACAGCAGCGAGTAGACTTGGTCTTTATTGAAGACTGTCGTGACAGGACTTCCACCTGCCACAAGATGAAACAAGATGGAAGCCCCGAACAAAAGAGCATCCAAACTTTTATTAGTTGCTAATCCCCATGTTACATCCCCCCCCAACTACATCACTAATACATCATGGTTGCCTTCCATCAAACACCCATCAAGTGTAACAAAAGAGATATTTACATTTCCCCGTTTCCCAGCTAAGTTAATCACACCCTTTTGTCTTCATCTGGGTTTGTTATTTCTGGAATGGCTACCTGTCTGGCACTCAGGTATCAGGATGCCAGGAATTATCACTCAGGCAGAGGGGCTGCTGAATAGCTGAGCTCACGTCTATATGAATTTCTGAAGTTTTCCCAGTGAGCCAGTACATACATACATTTATCAGTGAATTCTTACATTTGGTATCCTGCAGCAAAGGCCCTTTGAATAGATAGGAAGAAATTATGATGAAGTGTTTTGTGGGGACAAATCACAAAAGTCACAAAAGTGATTGTGCTGATTTTGGTAGTGTGCTGCATGTGCATGATATCTGGAGGAGCAACCCCCTCCCCAACCTATACATAAATTCCTGCAACATGGTAAACTGCACTTTGTTCATCTGACGGAGCTTCCACATGGCTATACCCATCCCCCGATGCTCTTGCTCTCAGATGGGAGAGGCCGGTGAAGCAGAAGCTGTAACCTTGAAGATGCCATGCTTGGGAACATTCTGGCTCTTGGGCATATTTCTCAGAAAGCATTTTCTTAAGCAGGCGAAATCAACACAAGGTTTCAGAGAAGAAGCATTTCCAAGAGGTGGGTGGAATGCCACTATGTGCCATGTATCAGCTGATATGCTGCCTGACCTCTGGGGAAGGGCCCAAGCTCTGTGGTAGAACATCTCACTTGTGTGCAAAAGTCCAGATTCAATCCCTAATGTCCCCAGTCTCAAACTCTGGAGAGCAGCGTAGATAATACTCCACTGGATGGATTTATGCTCTGACAAGGTATGAGACAGCTTTCTAGGTTCTTCGCAGATTTCAGAATAGCCTGTGGAGTTTTATTGCTCTACACAGCTACCCTGGGCCTAGGAAACAGAAGTGGGGTAGTTTAGGCAACAGGGAGATTATCAAATAGGCTAGTGGGGTAAAGGAGCTTTCAGGAGACATTTGCTTGCGAAAGCTTAACAGAACTTTTTTTTTGCGCACCAGGAAAGTGATAGATAACAGCGCAGGAAGCGAAAGAGCCTTTGCAGCTAGCAAGGGGTTAATGTTCCCAGACGACCAAGCTGGACAGGTCAACAAGTTGCCTAGCAAGCGCACGAGTTTAAGGGCTGCACGAGACGATGCTGGAACAGGAGGTCACAATCGTTCATCTAAAGATTAACTAGGAGGCTGCGTGGCGACGGGATCCTCCTGGAGGTCCCCACCCCACCCCGCTCCTCACCCAATCAGAGAGAAGACCAGCCACGCTCAGCGACCAATACGGGATCGGTTACCTTCTGCCACCCACTCCAGCCAATCCGGAGCATGCAATGCAGTTGATGGTCCGGTGGGCAGGGTCTCTTCGTGGGTTTAAATCCTGCGTTAAAGTGCTGTGGATAATAATAATAATAATAATAACAACAACAATTCCATTGCGCGAGCATAGCAGGCCTGTTGGGGGGGGGGGCGGGGAACAGCTGAGCCTCGCAAAATACTGCGACCACTGCAAGGGTTGCTATTTACATACCTCCCGATTCCACGCTTGCTCTCTTTGCGCTTCTTCCCCTGCTCGCTTTTTGCAGCCAGCTGACTGCAAACATCGCCAGCCGGAGGAGGAGGAGGAGGCGTGGCGAAGATCTGGCCTGTCAGCCAATCCGGGCCGCTCGTTCTCCCTCGACGTCACCTTCCCTCGAACCTGCGGCAGCAACAATAACAATAACAGACGGGATCTCTCCCTGGGGTCGATCAGCTGGGCGTGCGCGGCTGGCTCCCGAAGCAGGCAGCAGCTGCTACTGTCAGCGGCGTCAGCGGGAAGAGAGCAGCCGAGAGAGAGAGACTCCAAAATAGACGCGCTTCTTTCCCAGGAGCCATGTCGTCGAGCGAGGGGCTGGGGGTGCAAGAGGAGAACTTGCAGGGTAAGGGATCGGCCTCCTTGTCATGAAATCAGTATGATCCTTAAGGGCCCCCTTTACCATTGGGCCTCTACTGGGAGAAGTCTTACTGGGGGAAGGGAGGGAGAGGGGCTCTTCTTCTTGGCTGACCGGAGGCAGAGATATTGGGCATTCCTGATCGCCTGGTTTCTGAACCCCAGAGATTTCCCCAAGTCACTCTTTCTTTGTTTTTCTTTCCTCCCCTTCCCCTAACGGTGGTTGCGATTCTGAAATTCGTGGGGAAATGGCACTGGTAGGAGAAGCAGACGGATGGAATGGCGAAATGCCAGGGGGAAAGCTTGCCCCCGTTTCCTGGCCAAGGCCCTCTCGGTTTGGTGGGGCTGTCGATAACTTGACTTCTCTCTAAGATTAGGAAATGGGCGGCTGCTGCTGCTTCTCCTCCTTCGCCTCGCACCGGCCGTGTAATGCTCCTGGCCAGCTGAAGTGCCAACCAGGAGGGCAAGTATTCTTCAGACACAGGGCTGTGTAGCTCAAGGCCTTCGAAGTGCAGAACGGGCAGATCCAGGGCACTTTTTTTTTATTGTTGCGAGAGTCATCCCTGCTCTCTCCCATCTGTGCTCATGACACCTTTGTCTGCATGACTCATAGGCCCTTTACTCAGAACTTTGTGCAACGTTTGTGGCTGTAAATAATTGGCCTTCGGAAATTATTGACATACGGTGCTTGTTCAAGGAGCTGCAGTCCTGGGTTTTATTACCAACATACAATGAGAAACCTGAAGGTAGATTGTAACATAAAAGAATTTCCCTGTTGACTTCAGTGGGATGTAGGATGTAGATCGTACCAGTAATTGGATCATTAAGTAATAATAACAGTACCAGGGTGTATTGCTAAATATGAAGTCCATTGCAAAGCGGATGTGCTGGTATTGATTTATATTATTATTGCTGTTGCACTGTTTAGGGAAGCTTTTAATATTTGATGGATTATTGTATTTTAATCTTTTGTTGGAAGCCGCCCAGAGTGGCTGGGGAAACCCAGCCAGATTGGTGGGGTATAAATAATAAACATTATTATTATTATTATTATTATTATTATTATTAAGAGTCAACTTTCTACCAAGCCTGAAATGATTTTAGCGACACATCACCTGATTCTTGCGAAGCATGTGATTTCATGTATGTGCAGTTAACATGCAGAGTTAAATGTGCTGAGGACTGTGATATACAAAATGCATATGAGCTCCCTAGATGTAGCGCTGCAAAAATAATTATGTAGGAAGCAAAAATCTTCCAGTCTGTACCATTGTGATCTTAATACATTCATATAGGTCTGCCCCACCTACACTGTAGTGACTAGAGCTGATGCATATGCCCTATCCTCCTTTAAAAAAAAAAAAAAAAAAGCTTAAGGGAAGTGAAATCAAACTAGCGGCTGTAAATGTAAAACTTGCACAGTATGTGAAACATCCCACTGCACCATCAGCCATACTTTTAGATTTCTTTTTAAATTTTATTTTCTTGCCTGGTATTTTGAATGTATAGGGTACACTGGCAGAATTCTTGCTGGGTTGTAGTTGTCTTTTTCTGAAATACAAAACAAGGAGAAAATAAGTTGTAGTTTGTAGTCTTTTCCAAACTCTACTTCAGCTTATTTCCCACGATCTGTGGAAGAACTTCTCCTGCAAGTTCCAGATTTTTCAGAAGCCTGCTCCATAGTTACTCACAGGAGACTTTTAGTGGGGCTGTCCTCTTCTGTGAAATAGCATTCCTGTTGCTCTACGGCAGGCAGCAACTATCTGCACTTTCCAAGCTGGAAAAATGAGTCTTTGCTGTGTCTGTTTTGTATGGTGTCAGTTTTGTTTTAAATGTGTTTACTGTTTGTGTGTGTGTTTTTAAAATTGTTTTTATGGTACATCACCTTGGGACTGTTGCGTAGAAGGCAATTAATACATTAATGACCACGATATCAAATCTGACTGCCACCTTGTGCTTCTCTTCAGAGTTCTGTTAGCTGGCTTCTCTTCCCCTCTTTCTGCGGTAGAAATTCAACTGGTGCAGCTTCCCTCACAGAATGGGATTCTGTTGCTTGGGAAAGCTTCAAGACCTAACAGGCAGAAGCACAGGCTGGCAGCTGTCTGTTTATGCCATGTGACTGAAAACTGTTGGTGCCTTTTATAACTTTTGTTTTGAAAGAGGGTATTTCACAATTTCCAGGGACTGTTTATTTTTCAAAGTGACCCAGAAGGACTTGTTTGCTCAGGAGATATTATGTAGTAGGTGGTATAATATATAATCTGTAGGCTATTTATAGCTTCAATCTGGCAACAGAGTTGCCTGCGGTTGTTTGACATGTTGCTTGTGCTGGTCCCCCCTCCCCTTTTTTTAACTTCCTTCCTTCCTTCTGCTACTAGTATCCTGGGGATTTTAGTCCCCAGAAGCAGGCCACAGACAAGGACAATTAACTGATTTGTAAGATGCCTTTGATTGTGCATAATAAAGACTTACTGAATCTGAACAGAAAGATTCAAAATGCTGTATAATTAGTCTCAGCCCCCATATCCACATTTAATTTTAAAAACCAGTGTTTATGGTAGGGATTGGAGACATGCAGTATTCGGATGCTGTTTCTTCCACAGGAAAAAAGTGGCAATTTCTCACATACTGTTCTTAAGCTATGGACACCCATATTTCATTTGTGGTGCAAAGAAGTAGTTTTGCTCAATAAAGAACCACGAATACTTGTCTTGAACAGGCTGCTTTCCATCTAGATTGTTTCTGCATCCTGCCCTCCACAAGAGTGGGTGTGGTTACGTCCTACGGACTTGAAAACCCTCCCCTTGGTTAGATTAGCTATGCCTTTTCTGCCCTGCCTATGCCTCAGGTGAAGAAGGAAGTGGCGATTGTGGTCTTGGTATATGCCGGCCCACAACGTCCTTGGGCAGCTGCCTTCATCCATTTTCAAATGGACGCTCTGCTGGGTAATGCAGAATCAATTCAGCTTTTATTTTTGGAATGAAGTCAGTTTGTGGGAAAGTGCTTTTCAGGGGCATGAAATATGTAATAGGTCCATATTGTGTGCCAGCTAGGTAGAGGGAACCCCCTCTCCCAATATCCTGGTGTGCATTGAATGTAGAATATAATGTGTGCATGGAGCCTTATATTTGTCAATATCTAGCTGAATTAAAATTGTGCTTTTCCTGGCACTGTGGCTGATGGAAAGACAACCCATTAATGTATAAAGCAGCCCGGGACTTGCAATGCTTAAAAAGGAAAAAGAAAATAGAGTCTGTTTGTTAATCCAGATTCCAAGCCAAGTATCACTACCATGTTTGGAATACTGAATGCATTTTCTGCTACTAAGAATCCTACTCACACTTTGCACCTGTGGATCATTTTTCCCCTTGGAGGTCCTCTTCTACGCCTCCGGGAAACAAAGTAAATCAAAATAGGTCAGTGTATTTGATAGCCCATTTCTGACTGGTTTGTCTGACATCCCTAATCTGCACATGCTTTTTTGCAGATTTCATACACAGTAGGGTCTTCTGTTGTGGGAACTAGGTGATCTTCCAAAGGACCATCAAGTGTGGTGCTGGTGTTGAGACAGCATAGGGTGAAGACCTAACTCCTGTGCTCTGATGGTGACTGAAAAGGCTTCATCATTGCAGGATCCTATTAGTGCAGAGATTTATTATTAACAGGCAATACTCTGCTCATTTCCTGGAATGCAAGAAGGAGGCCATTAAGCCAGGCTTGGAACAGAATGCCGGCAAATGAAACTGCTTGAAGACTTCCCAATATGCAATTGTGTGGCTTTTGTTTTGTTTCTGAACATATGCCGAACAGGTTCCTGGGTGGAGCTGCACTTTTCCAGCAACGGGAATGGTAACGGTGCCCAGCCAACAAGCCAGGAGCAAGGCCCAGCCTCGATTTCTATTCACAATGGCGACATGGAGAAAATCCTTCTAGATGCCCAGCATGAGTCTGGAAGAAGCAGCTCACGAGAGAGCTCCCATTGTGACAGGTACAACAAAAGAGATAGCACTTGCTCTTTTCAAAGGATACACACCTATTTATTTGCATGTAGTCTTAAGAGGCTGGCAGATCTGTGAGATGATGTAAGTGGCCCTGATCCAATCAGGGTCTCTGGATAAGAGCTGAGGCCACTCCCATACCTTCCAAGTGTCCCCATTTTCCAGGGATAGTCTGGGTATTATGAAAGCTGCCTCAGTTTCTGATTTGACCGTAAAGGTAAAGGTAAAGGGACCCCTGGCTTTATCTCCAGTCGTGGCCGACTCTGGGGTTGTGGTGCTCATCTCGCTTTATTGGCAGAGGGAGTCGGCGTACAGCTTCCGGGTCATGTGGCCAGCATGACTAAGCTGCTTCTGGCGAACCAGAGCAGAGCACGGAAACGCCGTTTACCTTCCCACCGGAGCGGTACCTATTTATCTACTTGCACTTTGATGGGCTTTTGAACTGCTAGGTTGGCAGGAGCAGGGACCGAGCAACAGGAACTTACTCCGCTGCAGGGATTCGAACTGCCGACCTTCTGATCAGAAAGTCCTAGGCTCTGTGGTTTAACCCACAGCGCCACCCGCGTCCCTTTTGATTTGATCCTAGAATGTCTCTATTTACGGACTTGTATAAGAGTAAAAGACAATTGGGAAATGATCCATAATGAATTGAATTTTTTTTTTAAGTACTTTCCTAAAAACCCCAGAGTCCTTTCTGTTGCAGATAATTCAGACTGAAATTCCCAGGTGTCAGAAAAGGTTATTTATGTATGCTGCTACTGTGGTCTGTGTTTTGTTAGCCCCAAAATGGAAAACAAGCGATTAGGGTACTGTTGATGTAGTGATGGTGACACTTGCCCATCGTCTGATAGGAAATGCTTTGCGGGGGTGGGGACGCACAAAATGGGGGCTCAAGGAGGATCAGTTGGCGGGGAGTGAGAAATGAGGAATGTTGGAGGGTATGCACTCCCAGAACTTCAGCATTCTTATATGCTTATCTTGAGAGTATTTATTTCCTCCATTTTAATCTTCCAAGTAGCTCAGAAGGCATGGTTCTTCACAAAGGCACACCCACCCGCATGTTTTGTCCTCACAACAGCCCTGTGAAGTTGGTTAGGCTGAGAGATAGTGGCTGGCTCCAAGTCACCCAGTGAGCTTAGTGGCTGAGTTGTGGCATCTCAATCTGAACTGCCTTGGTCCTGCAGCTAAAGCAACGAAATCTAGAAACCTTGTTCTGTGTGGGTTAATGCCCTGTAACTTCTCTTTACCAAGTCCTCCTCGATCCCAGACGCCTCAGGACATTCACAGAGCTTCTGAAGTCGAGAGCCGTGGCAGCGGAGAAAAGAATAGCTCTCAGGTAAAGCCAAGCCTTTTCTGAAGATTGCCAGATGGCTTTTCCAAGCCATTGAATGGTCTGGTGCGGGGATGGGGAACCTGCAGAAATGGCCAAAGAAGCTGAATAGGTGTCCCCCCCCTCACTTTAGAAATAACATCCAAGCCAATTGATTATATCTCTCCTTCTTTTAGTCTGAGGAAGATTTTCAGGAAAGAAGGAAAGAAGTTGAACAGCTTTTGAAGAAAAATTCTGACTGGATGTGGGACTGGTCCAGCAGGCCTGAAAACATTCCACCCAAGTAAGTGTGACAGAAGCTGCCTTGATTCCCGCTGGTATGTACAGTATATGGTGACAGACCTTTACAGATTGGATTCTTTCTTTTCTCGTCACAAACTAGGGAATTTCTGTTTAAACACCCCAAGCGCACTGCCACCCTCAGCATGAGAAACACGAGCGTGATGAAGAAAGGGGGCATCTTCTCTGCGGAATTTTTGAAGGTTTTTCTGCCATCTCTGTTGCTTTCCCATCTGCTTGCCATTGGATTAGGGTAAGGAGTCCTTCAGTCAATTCACTGTGGAGATTGTAGGGGACCAGATGTCTAGTGTGCTTCTCCAGAAACTTATGTGTTGACTAATTTACACGAAGAAAGAGTAACACAGAAATACAGTGCTCATTTTTTTTAAGGCACAGAGATGGCTTATAGTTTAGTTGAAAAACTAGACTCACTACGCTTTGGCCCACTTCAAAATGTTTTGATCCACGGCAGGGATGAGGAACCTGATTTTGCTGAACTACAAATCCCATTACTGTGACCATGCTGGATGGGTCTTTTGTAGTCCAGCATCTGGAAGACAGGCTCCCCATTCCTGATCTACAAGATAACTTGCAGTGAAAACTCCATCAAAATGTAATTTACCCATCATGATCAAATATGGTTACATGGACAGAATCTGCATTCAGGGAATCATTCAATAAGCCTTTGGGGTGATGTTTGAGGTTTATGGTAGACACCGGTATTATAAAACAAAATGGGGTAAAATCTCTTCCTTTTTTTAAAGTGATGTGCTATAAAGATATAGGGTGATGATCAGTTTTCAGATATTAGAATGTGCAGAATTGTAATTGCTGCTGAGTGAATGGCAGCAATGGAATGCCATCTCCTTCATCCCAGATTGGTGGCAGCCATGACATTTTATCACAGCCATAAAACATGAAATCTGACTTTGTAGTAGCTTTGCCTCTGATCCTTGAAGTGGACCAGATTTTACCCCCACCCCCAAGTTTGTTTTTTCAGTGCCTCGATATTTCGCATTTTGTCATCTAATGCGAGTGGCGTAGAGATGTGTGCAAGGTATTGAGTGATGTCCAGCGATGTGCATCTGGAGTTCCACTCATGCATCAAAACCTCCCCATTTTTTCTTGCACTCCCCCAAACCCCCCGGAGCAGATTTTGAGGGTGCCGGGTGGAAGGGAGGCCAACGAGAGGAAGTTCTGTTCTATAAGCAGAAATCTGCTATACGAGTAGGCACAGGAGCACTGGATGCAATCCATTGGAAACAGACATCCAATGGAGGCTATTTCAGCTGTGCAAGTAAGCTCACAACTATTACTTGCTCACATGGACACGACCCAGATGGAGCTAAGTTTTCCAAGCTTTTAAAGGCTTCCTTGAAACTGCCTAGAAAAAGGATAAGGTTCCCACCATCAGGAAGTGTGTGAGGAAAATGTGCTTCCAGCCCCCTATCCCACAGGGTTCAGCAGGCCCCTCTAACCCTCCAGGTGTGATAGGATGGGAAGCTTTCCTTTCTTCGGTTCACCCAGGGGTTGTCAGCCTGGTCCCTGTTGCCCACTAGGGGGTGTTTCAGGATTCTGGGTGGGTGGTAGGGGGTTCTATGGTACAAGCTGAATCCTCCTTCCATCGAGCACTGGTAGGCGATAAGAAAAATTTACCATCAAGAAAGATGCATTGGTGGGTGGTAGGTATAAAAAGGTTGACTACCCCTGGCTTAACCTTTCCCAGCCAATTCGTAGCTGCTTAGAAGGCTGGATCCTTTGTGGTATCAGATTCCCACCAATTTTATAGCACAGTGAGTAGTCAAAGTAAGAGGAAAAGGGGTTTCCCTACCATCTTTCATCTTTCAAAATTAAGCAGAGCAGTTACTGGCTGTCTTTTTGTTGGTCTCAGGATTTATATCGGAAGACGGTTGACAACTACAGCTTACAGCACCAGTTCGTTGTAAGATGGGAACAAATCTTCATCTCCTACAAAAACCATGACTACATTCATCCAGACATGCAAAATGGTGAATGAAAAGGAACTCCTGTGTGTGCAGAAGTGGCACAGCTATGTATGTTTTGGTCCCTAAATGTGTGCTCTTGGGGCTTTTTCTAATTGTAGAGGGAAAGATTGAAAACCAACACCAAACGACTCCTTTGTAAACTAACCTCTTGTCGCTCAAGTCATCAAATTTTTGACAGAGGTCTTTAAATGAACTGTGTGTTTGTGAACAGAATGTCTATATTGAAAATTATGTAGCAAGGGATTAAATGGTTCGTCTTGTTTCACTTTTGTAAAAAAGAAATTGGTTTGGGTTGTTGTTGGTACAACTTGATTTGCATAGCAAGAGTATTTGGTCAAGAGTATTATGGCCTTACCTTTCTAAAGGCTGGAGTCTGTGAAGCAGTTTAGTGATTTTCTTTAAGATACCTCTCTAAATCCTAAATACAGGTTTGTGTGTTTTAGTATGGGATCTTTCCATTATGTTTTAAAAAGGAAAATGTATATGCAACAGAAGTAAAAGTGGTGTGGTAAGTAAGCCTGCAACACAGAGTTTATACAGTGGTACCTCTGATTACGTACTTAATTCGGGGAAAACCTTCATGCTCCTTTGAGTCCAACAGCCATTCTGAAGGTTCCTCTGGAATGATGGTGATGATTAATTTCATACAGTGGTACCTCAGGTTAAGTACTTAATTCGTTCCGGAGGTCCGTACTTAACCTGAAGCACCACTTTAGCTAATGGGGCCTCCCGCTGCCGCTGTGCCACCAGAGCACGATTTCTGTTCTCATCCTGAAGCAAAGTTCTTAACCCAAGGTACTATTTCTGGGTTAGCGGAGTCTGTAACCTGAAGCGTATGTAACCCGAGGTACCACTGTATATCCAATGATTACCCTTGCTAAGGTAAGCTATCTAGCCAGCCACAATTTAAGTATGGCAGACCCGCTGAGCCTTCATGTCTGATACTCGGAGGTATCTGGTCTTAGCAATTTTCTTGAGAATTACCCATTAATGAACTTTTTACAGGCACATGTGCCTTAGTGCAAGCTTATCACTAGGCTTCAGTGCAGGTTTTAGCAATTAGCCCATTTGAAATCAAGTTTTACACAAGGATGAACATATGCTAAACATTTGCAACTTACACTTCTTTTGGCCATCTTGAATCTTTGCAAGTTCAACAATGGTTTTAAATACAAAACTCCAGTTGTTTGAGATTTTACCAGTTAAATAAGTTTTGAATGTCATCACAGCCTTATTGAAAAGCAGCAAGGAATGTTGTTTTTGCAGGAAATTCTTATGAGTTAAATAGATGCTTGTGTATGGTACTACAATATTTACAACGATCAACCAAGGCATTTTGGTAGTCAAGCACTTCCAAAGACAAGTATATTTTCCAATACTCTGTTGATATAGCCTAGAATAGCATTAGCCTATTTTCTTACTGCATCACTGTTAAGCTTAGATCTTTTCACATGCACCAATGGCAAGCCACATGTTCTCTTATATTTGTGAGGCTGGCGATTCTTACATTTGTCCTTATTGAAATTAATTTTGTTCGTTTGGGCCCATTTCTCCAATCTGTTAAGGTCATCTTGAATCCCAATTCTGTCTTCTGCAGCATTGACAACTTCTCCCAGTTTGGTGTCATTCTCTTGTGTAAGTAGTCTGAAAATATCTTGATTAAATGAATGAGGTGAGCCACTGGTGTGCCTTTGTTTTGCCAGTCACCAAATTGCTTCATACGGAAAGATAACTCTAAGCCATTTTACTATTAATAGGTGGGTGTTCTAACTGATGGAAACTTTCCTGCTTGCAAGGATTTACCTACGCCCATCAGTGGAAAAAGCAGCCACACAAGTACAAAAGCATATAGACATGCGAAGCTCTCTCCTGCTAGAGTGAATATGCAGAACTGCTTCCTTAGGAACTCCATAAATTTCTGTGTCTGAATGCATGGCTTTCAGTAAATCCATTAATTTTGTTCAGTTACCCATTTGGACTTCTGAATCAGGATGAATGGGATATTCTTAATGTCAGCTGGCAATGGTTTAATTATTGGATTATTTATCCCCACCCCCCAATTTGCAAATACAAAATAAGGGTTGAATTAATACAAAGTATGGGGACAATGCTGTGTATTTCTGGGCCTTAGTAAAATCACAAAAGACCATTACTTTACTGTTTTGCAAATTTGAGTAGATAAGGCACATTTAAAGAAGAAACCCATCTTTTTAAACTGGACATTGTACATAAAATGAATTGGTAGCTTTGTTTTGATTTAGCAAAAGGAGATAGGCGGTAAAAAAAAAGGATTCTTGATTGAAGCTGCCTGTTGCCATTGTGTATGTACTGCATACGAATCTCATTTATTTAGTGGGAGTTTGTGCAACTATCGTGCTAGAATAGTACTGTTTTGGCTTTCACAACATGAATGGAAAACATCTAGAACTTCATCTTCTGGCAACTCACAAAGTCGAAAAGCTGTGAAATACTCCACTGAATGTATATTACAAGTTTATTGCTACTATACAAAAACAATAAAGCGAGTAAATATTTCACTGCTTTTGAATTATGTGTTATCAGTAGTCAAGATGTGTGAAATGAGGAAGAGGTGCTGCTAAGGATGTTCAGCTGTCAAACGTTTCAAAAATAAAATCCAAAGGCAAGGCAGACTTGCTAGCAGAGAAAAGAGTGCAATATTGCCATGGGCTTCATCCCTTACCATTGGCATGTGGCCTAGAGAAAAACTCCCCATCCCTGGTGGGGAAGTTAGGCACTTCGGTGCAGTCGTCACTAGCATGGAACATAGCTATCTAAAGGCAGAATAATCTTTGTACAATAGAATTTGGGAACCAAATGCCTTTCTATAGAAAAAAGTTCTCAGAACTCTAGCATTTAAAAACGAGCAAGCCGGATATTGAATTATATTCATCTTTTACAAGCCCTGTGTGTCAACATGTTGGAAGTCTAGGGAGACCAAGAACCCTATTTTGTGTGAATAAAGGCGTTTGACATGTGTGAAGTTGGGGTGAAATATGGGGCCATGATTTTATTCCTATTTTCTGCAGTGTTAACTGTGGAGGAACCAAACTGCTAACCGATCGGGTGAGGCCAACCGTGCCGCATGAAAGGGGGTGAGTTTTAGGTCCACCCTTCTGTCAGTTCCACCCATAAGTGGTAAGAAAAGTCTTCCAGACCCACCCCAAATGGAACCATACTGAGTTTACTGAGGCCACAGAAGGCAAATTGCTTTTCACCAAGGGCACTCGCCAAACCCTAATCTGTAGAAGTCCTACACGTACCCGCCACAGAAAAGGACAAGCCTCTACTTAGTCCCTCTTCTCCCACCTGCAGCAAATTATGTTGCCCAAAGCACACTGCAGGAAGTTGCTGAATTACAACTTATCACTAAACTGAAAACTATGGAGAGACCTGGTCTTAATAGAGATATTGGATTCCTGTCTCATTACATATGCTAATCATCTGCATACTATCCCTTGCTTTTTCCTGTAGGAATAATTGCAGCTGTTAACAGTCTTCAACAGATTTACCATACCCATTGAGTCAATCACCCATCTCCTGCTACCCTCCTGAGAAAAACCCCACCCCACCCTCCCACTATATATAAGGGTCTGGTGACTTCTGTTTTGGTGTATCTGAAGAAGTGTGCATGCACACGAAAGCTTATACCCAGAACAAACTTGGTTGGTCTCTAAGGTGCTACTGGACAATTTTTTTATTTTTTAAATAAAAATATTGTTTATTTTTGTTTTTTTATTGTTACTCATATTGGAGAAGTGAGCCTATTCAGCCACAAAGTTCCATCTTAACATAGTGGTGAATAGTATCATGCAGGATTGAAACCAGGGCTTGCTGGGCTTCCCTTTTTATCTTCTGGCATGCCCAATTAAGATAGCTGGGGGTCACCATAATCCTGACAAACCCACCTTGGGGGAGCTTCAGCCCACACAATCAAGGCCCTGGGCCACCACTGTTATAGGACCCGGAATTCTAAATGGGCTTGAACACTGACCTTCAGCAACTGCAAAAGTTTCCACCCAGGTAAATGACCGAAATATGAGAGGGTTGAACAATGCTGGCAAAATGTACTTTCATTGTACAGTGGTGCCTCACAAGACGAAAAGAATCCGTTCCACGATTCTCTTTGTCTAGCGGTTTTTTTGTCTTGCGAAGCAACCCTATTAGCGGCTTAGCGCTATTAGCGGTTTAGCGGCTATTAAAGGCTTAGCGGCTGAGCTGCTAAAAGGCTATTAGCGGCTTAGGATAGAAAAGGGGGGGGGGAAGCGGGGAAAAAAAAGGCAAGACTAGCAATACGTTTTCGTCTTGCGAAGCAAGCCCATAGGGAAATTCGTCTTGCGAAGCAACTCAAAAACGGAAAACCCTTTCGTCTAGCGGGTTTTCCGTCTTGCGAGGCATTCATCTTGCGGGGCACCACTGTATACCATGCCTACCCAACCCACTGCATGCATGCACTTTCGCCAAGCCCAAACTGGATTCCATGAGCATCTTGCCACACCCTGTGATTGGTCCAGAAACACCAAACAGTGGCCACAAATGGGCACCAGTACCCTCCAAGCACCTACCAAAACAAAAGCAAGGAAGTGGACAAGCACACTTCTGCAAAACAGTATTAGCCAGGGCCCTTGAGCGGCCCATTGTAAGGATACAAATGCCCCCATTTTCCAGTGACCCATCATCAATTCCAAAACCCAAACTGGTAGATGCCAAAACAGAGCCGATTTGAAAGGAATGTGTGCCAGACTGTCAGCAGGCCTCTCACCCTGAATGCAGCCAGCTGTAGTCATAAATTGGGAGCCAAAGTTCAGGCTCCTTCCTGGCCCAGTTCAAATTGGGATCCACAGCTGCCTGCATCCTAAATGACTCTTCATAAGCCAGCCAGGCAGCATCTGCATATTCATGGTAAGATCTGAATGTGATTATCCAGATGCTTCAAAAGGAGGGAAAGCCCTCACAATACGCCTGAGTTTATATTCTCTGAAATTATACCATAACTCAAAGTCAAATAGTACAGCACTGCCTATGCATTAAAGCTCTCACAGACCTAAATATTAAGAGTCAAAAAGTTGATTGCAGTATTACTAAGTTGATTCTACTGCGAAAGCTAAATATTCCTACATTTCATCACAACTGCTTTATCATTCAAATGGGAGGATGTTACAGAAAAGATGAAAAAGCTGAACATGACTATCTTCATTGTGAATCAACAATACTTTTCAAGGTGCTGTAAAAACATAAGCACACA